CTAAACATGAGTGGTAAAGTTTTAGTCCACCCTAATATACAGTTCTCGGTGCAGATATCCACAGGTTAAATCATCCGTAGGTTTATAATGTATCTATTGTGCACTTCAGCAATAAAAAAACCCACACCTGATTTCTTAGCTCCACCTACATGCCCTAGTCATAATGTGCAGGTCCATTACATCTTTTTGAATTCTGAATTTATATGAGATTACAAAGAATGCAGCATTAGGACCATGACTGTGTCAGGTGGTGTAGCAGTGTGAGCAGTATTGGCAGGGATACTTTGCAAAAGGGCATCATTAGCAGAACTAATGGATAACCAAGAATGCAAGAAACTGCTATTTGACACATATAATTCTTTGTACTATAAAACGAAACTATCTTGGTTTTATCAAGCATTTAAGATTAAAGGAGAATTATGGGATGAGTGAACTATACTCGCCCCAATAGTTAGAGCCAAAGTGTAGGGCCGTAGCGATGGCAAGGCGACTGAGAGGGGACGCAGCCAGGGCTCAGCACGGCACTGAGAAGTAGGGCGGCACAGCCTGCGGCTTCTCCTCTGGATCCCTGCTGCTCTCCCCCAACTGTATGGGCAGAAGCAGCGGGGATCCCAGGAGAAGTGAAGCGCTGCAGCCGGCGGGGGGAGGGCGGAGGAGGGAGTCACAGCAGCACGGCCGAGCGATGAGGAGAGAGAGAGCCGCCCGTCCAGGAGCTGACAGCCAGCAGCTCTCTCTCTCCTCACCACTGGCTTTAGCGCGTCACTTCTCCTCGGATCCCAGCTCCCTCTGCCCATACAGGTGGGGGAGAGCAAAAGTTTGCCTGATGAAGGGACCGGACAGGTTCCGAAAAGTTGCCCCACACATGGTGATATGACCTGTGAAAATGAATAAAAGGATTTCGTTTGGAAGAAAACCTGGAGTGCTGGTGACCATTTTTCTGTTTTGTAAATAACTGGGGACACATAGTACTCTGTACAGATGCTTCTCCCCATTCAGAAACTGGTTGATAGAAAATATTTTCTGAATGAATGGGAAGCCTCTGTACTCCTCAACTTCTTGTTTTATTTTAAAAGGGAAATATCAGGTGGCTGTTTAGACCCCTAATATTTCCCCGATAATCCCCAACAGTAAAAAAAAAAAAAAAAATTATAAAAAAAATACATTAAACAAAATAAAAAATAAATAAACAATTATAACAAATAAAAAAAACACATCCTGGAGGCGGGGAGCATGACATCACATGAC